CTCTCTCTCTCTCTCTCTCTCTCTCCCTTCTCTCCCCCTTCCTCTCCCTCAGTCTTGCTTTCGCTCTCTTGTTCTTTTCTGCTCTCTTTCTCTTTCCCCTCTCCTAGTATTCGTTTTTTTTCTCATTCCCTCGATTTAACGGCTGCGTGTATATCGTGCTACAAGTACGACCGCATATATGAAGCGCCATGCATTACGAAGCGGCTGATTGTTGCGCGCGTGTGCTCTCTTGTGAATGTGCACATGTGTACGAGTCCTCTCACTCTTACCTTCAACAGAACCCTTTAAAGTCAGATGTGCGATTGTCTCTTATTATATGTGTAGCTCTACACATTAGTCGCATCTACTAATGATTTTAATTTGGTATTAATACATAAATTATAATTGTTTGCAAAATCAATATTTTTATATTAATCATTATTGGAGAATATTACAAATATTTCAAATTTATTAGTACATGCGATTTTAGTATCAATACATATAAATAAGTATTTGTAATTCTTTGTGGCATATGTTTAATGTTATATACTGACTATTAATATCTATCGATATTAATAAGTATGTCATCTGATTAATCTTAACCTCTAGTCTATTATTAATTGTGTTTATCGCTAATGATGGGAAAAAATGATATAAAAAACTTGCAATATTTATAGGTAACCTATTGTTTGCTTCGTTTATTAATACTAAACAAAATATTTTGAATATTTTGGTAAATTTGTATCACGTATATATATAATTATTAATTTTATACCACCAAATTGTGCTTACAGTCAAAGTACTAAGTCTTCGCAGATAAATTACTTAATACGGAATTACTGGGGAACACTATCATCGCCGCTATTTAACAATACATGGTGAATTATCGTCTAATATTTAGTACACGTATGGTTAATAGATTTCAATTACAATACGCGATCGATTGCGTTATGATATTCGATATACTTGCTATTAATAACAGGGTAAAATAGAGCAAATAGATAAAGGTTTATTTTAATAGAATTAAAATAAAAATTTTATCAATTATATTATTTTAGTATGAATTTTCAACGAATGTTGAAATTAAATTTTTTAATATATATTATATTTTTTTCAACATTTTGACATTTGTATTAATTCCTTGTTTATCGCTTTGGCTCTTTTTCTTTTAACTCAAATTTTTGAGGATATATTTCTGTTTTCATGTTTTATATTATTTGTTAGTGTATTTGGTAATCTATTTTATGATGTACCTATTATTTTATTAAATTTAAAGAGTTATTTAAAATATTGCAATTTGATTTTGAAATAGAAACGATAGTCTCTATTTGTTCATATTTGCAGTAATCAAAGGCAAGATCGATTTGTGGTTTTCTTCAGTGTAGTGTAGTTAATATCGTCGTCGTGAAATCGTCCACGATGAAAGTTATCTCTGGTTCGAGACAATCTGTCGTTTGGAAATATGATTTTTTTCCTTCCCTCCAAACATTCGATTTGTCTCGTTTTAACCCGAACGATCGTACACCCTCGAGCGTGCATCCGTTTAAATTCAATTGGATGGGAAGGAACCGGCGGTGGCGCGAGTCCGCGATTATCCTGCAGGCATGTAACCTACGTACAGGATGACGCATCGCGAATCCCGATCGTATCAAGGGCAGGGAAGAGGGAGAGTGAGAGAGAGAGAGAGAGAGAGAGAGAGAGAGAGAGAGAGAGAGAGAGAGAGAGAGA